AGAGTATATACTCACGGGTTAGTGGTGGACAATATGAAGCAAGAGCTATAAGGAGGCATGGGTTTGGGGCCATCTTCATCTCCGCCCTCGCTCTCCTCCTCTTTCTTCTCCTCACTCTTCTTCTGGTCGGTGTTGGCGTTCTTGTTCACTAAGCAAATCCAGCAAAGAAAACAGGGAGAACTCAGAATCGACAGACACAAAGAGATAACGTTTGACACATAAAGACTGATATTGCACTGTTGTTAAGTTCAAGAGGAAAGCCAACTATTTTAATTTAGGTGTCACTGCAGTGATATTATACACAGTATTATAGTACAGTCAAAGACATGTTTAAAAAATAAATAAACTGATAAAAAAAGTTAGACTGGGGTGCAGTATTGTAGTGAACTGCTCATGAGTGACCACTGGAGGGCGCTCTTTATTGGTTGAACAGGCAGCAGGCTGGAAGCAATGGTGACTGTGAATGTTTGGTATAAGGTAAAAATAAAACTGCATCCATGCAGTTTAGTATTAATAAAAAAGGTGGAGGCCAGACACTCGTCTACTGCCATATCTAAGTGTATACAAATGTAGTTTATTGACCACATTGTCCACAAGCCTATGTCCTTTCAGTAAACGCAGGTAGCTGCTGCAGCAGAAATTATCATTATTGGAGCGTAAGGAGTGCATATTATTATAGTAGGGTACCTGCCAGAAAGGTTTTTCGTTACTGCGTTAGCTCTCGTTGCATTAGCTCTCGTTGCATTAGCTCTCGTTGCATTAGCTCTACATTTTATTGTTGAAAAATACTCTGAAATACCATGAAGGTATAATGGCATCAAAAATAAATAATATTTTAAGTATAATGTTTTTGCAATCAGACCCATAAAAAACAAAACAAAACACTCTTTTATACATTTTTTAAAGTATCTTTGACGTGTTTCTCGAAGAGTCCTCTAACTTTAAAGTCAGTACTACCAGTCAGAAGTACAGTTTGTACTGCATTAATGTCTCTCTGTCTAAACTAGAAGATGCCTATCAAACAAATTATAGACCCCAAAAGCCATCTTTAGTTTTATAGTCATACGAGCCTCCAAGATTCACCTTGTAAGATGGCGTTGGTCGAGGGGTAGGGGTAGACAGGGGGCATTTCTATGGCTGTGTAGTCAGGTTTAACCATGCTAGTGAGAATCAAGCTGTCCATGCTGTGAAGCAGTGTGTGGGTATCAGCATCGCGGCAGTTGAGCAGGTTATTGACATGGTCAGGATGGTCAGGGTGATCTGGTGGTAGGGCGTAAGGGTGCTCGTGGGCATTGGCCAGCTTGCTGTTGTTGCGGAAGTTGTCCAGGTCCTCATTATACTGCTGTATAGGACGGGTGGTAGAGAGGCTTGGTCCAGTACTGTGGTGTTCCCTGATGAAGGAAAAAGAGATGGGGGAGATGAGCAGAGCACACAGAAGGGCAGATTCTCTACCAAGGCCAATATCCTATGATACACTTGATATGTGTCTTTATATAGTTGTAATACATAGCCTGGTAGTTTTAATTTAAAAGTCTTAAACTCTCAATAAACAGTCTTTACAAAATTCTAAATTCAGAACTAACATTTAAAATGGCATTTTCATTTCTTTTCCATTCCAGTTTTTCATTGCATTTCCTTTTCCTGCTTTCTTTGGGATTAGCTACAAATTAGCAATGGGAGTAACTATGGAATTAGCTGTGAAATTAGCTAATAGATTAACTATTGTATTAGCTATTTCACTTAAAATTTCCCTCAACTCCTTTGATCCTTGTAGACAATGCAATGCAAATTAGCCATGTGGAGCAATGTAAGGAGCTCTCTGATTGGTTACAAAGACACTGCAGTTTGCATTTATAGCTTTGCACTGTTCAAGGACATTTAGCCTAGCTGTTCACTGTCTTAAAATGTGCAACGCAGATATATGAAGAATGGTAAGGAACACTGCGATGAAATGGAGCCCTGATCAACTAAGTGTGCAGTAGATTTAATCAGTGAACAATTTGGTTGAATTTTAGATTTTAAATGGATCTGTTTGTTAGTGAATGACAACTAGCTCTGGGAGATGAGGTCACACCCTCATCTGTCCTACACCATGTTCATGGAGGATGTTACAACATTGACAGACGATGACCTCTCAGCACTTTGAGTCAGCTTTTTGGCACCAGGGACCCTCATAGCAAAACAGCAACTTGGACTTCATGCAGTAAATACTACCTTTCTGGTGTTTGATTCTATTAATCGCTCTCTCATTTAACCCACAACTAAAATCAGTCCCAAAGAGCTGGGTAAAAATATTAAGAAGGCGTGAACACGTTTGTACTTTTACTTGTTCCGGGAATTACATTACAGAACAGTAAATCTATTAAAACAAATGAATGTCTTCTTTCATTTTGCATTACGTTTTGTATATAATATGAACAGGACTGCAGGCTGTTGAATAGATCAAATCACTAAAGTCATACTGAACAATCTGACCAGGTGAGTTAAACTAATTGACCACTTTTACAAGTTTTAGTTACATAACTGATTAAAGATCATCAAACTACTAAGTAACTTT